ATCTTCTGAAGCATATTCATGGAGTCTGATACAATGACTGCATGTGAGGATACCCATGCTAGTGCTCTAGAAGCAGCAGCTGTCTCCATGGCTATGCTTGATTCTTTTAACCCATATATGTGCATGCATTGTATGTGTATGTCAGCTGTACCTTTGTTGTCTGTATACATATATCAGTATGAATGCATGTCAAGATGTAGACGTAGATATAGACATAGACATCAGATGTAGGCCGTGTGTTTCAGACATGACTAGACATTGCAGAGAGATAAATGCCTAGATGGTTTGGCCACATAGAGGGTGCAAGACAGGAACACTGACCTGACCTGTGATTGTGTGAGATGGTCAAACATAACAGTCTAAGTGGCACATGATGATGATAAGTGTAGTCTAAAGTTTCCACTAGAAGTATGTTTGTTAGTAAATTGTATATCTGTCTCTAACCACACACAACACAATGAATATAGACTTGTCTGCATGTATCTGTCATAGTTCTGGTTATGCAGATTGTATTCATGGTTATCTATATACCATTTATTTTATTTATACCATTTATAAATTCATAAAAACATTCATGTTTAAACAAGACTGAACCACAATATTTGCACCAAGATATTACAGTTGCATGTCCTCGAACTTCTCATAAATCAGCTGCCAAAACTTTTTTTTTTACTGACAATGTTAGACCAATTATTTTATAATGGTCATTTGTAGGGATGTATATTGATACATTTGTAGGGATGTATATTGATACATTTGTAGGGATGTATGTTAATACATTTGTAGGGATGTATATTGATACATTTGTAGGGATGTATGTTGATACATTTGTAGGGATGTATGTTGATTCATTTGTAGGGATGTATGTTGATACATTTGTAGGGATGTATGTTGATACATTTGTAGGGATGTATATTGATACATTTGTAGGGATGTATGTTGATACATTTGTAGGGATGTATGTTGATACATTTGTAGGGATGTATGTTGATACATTTGTAGGGATGTATGTTTATACATTTGTAGGGATGTATATTGATACATTTGTTGGGATGTATGTTGATACATTTGTAGGGATGTATGTTGATACATTTGTAGGGATGTATGTTGATACATTTGTAGGGATGTATGTTGATACATTTGTAGGGATGTATGTTGATACATTTGTAGGGATGTATGTTGATACATTTGTAGGGATGTATGTTGATACATTTGTAGGGATGTATATTGATACATTTGTAGGGATGTATGTTAATACATTTGTAGGGATGTATGTTGATACATTTGTAGGGATGTATATTGATACATTTGTAGACTTAGAGTGTAAAAAAACATGGTTGCCATGGCAACATCTGCCATTTTGATGAAAAAACAACATGTACTTAGACAGTTAACATTTCAAAAACAAACAGAGGTATTGAGAAACAGATGATCGATTCATGAACTTTAAAGCTATGTTTAGGGTCAGGTCTAGTTTATTTACTTCAAAGATGTTTCTAAATATTTTTTTTAAGAATATTAAAATTTAAGTATGTTGAAAAAATACAAAAATGTCACTTTTTAAGATAATAATCAATTTTTTTTTTTTAAATTACTTAATAAACTGTAATTTCAAATAGACCTGACCTTATAATATTGTGTTAGGAGTATCTACATCAAATTTCACGTCTCTAGTCTTTATATTAGCTGAGATTTTATGAGATCCCACACACAACAAACAGAAAAATAGAATTGTTAGAAAAGTGACTTTTAAACTTTTTTTTATCTTACAAAATTGCATGGGTTGGTGTCTTTAGTATTAACTTTTCAATGCTAAATTGTTTACCAATGACAAAAAATTAAGTGTGTAATCTATTCTACGAATGCCGAACATTACAAGAATGAACATATTGAAAAAGTGATATTTTTGTCATAAATTGGAAAAACAAATGCCGTGTAGTGACCCCTTAAGTTGACAATGACCAGAAATTGTGATTTTAATCTGTAAACTTGCCTGTGGAAAGAATACCCACATTCAGACCAAAACAGTTTTGTTATAATTATCTTTCAGTAATTTGCTAATTTTTTAATAAAGGCAGTTTAACATCTGCTTTGTTGTATAAGATAAATTTCATTACATTTTGTGACATTACATTTGTTATGTGTACACTCTGTACTTGGTCTGATATTAACAGTGCAGGTACCAGATAGTGTGCACACATAGGCATCAGTATGTGCACACATATACAGGTGCAAACACACACACACACACACAAAATACTAGTTTGTACAGACACACAAATGCCACAACTGAAATATGTATAGACAGCATTGATTGTAGCTTGCTTACACATACATACACACATACATACATACATACATACATACATACATACATACATACATACATACATACATACATACATACATACATACATACATACACAATACATACACACATACATACATACACAATACATAAACACATACATACACACATACATACATACACACATACATA